CCAATCACTCCACCTCACCCTCTCCTTAGCCTCTTTCAAGTCCCACCTCAAAACCCTCCTCTTCGACCCCTCCATTCTCCCGCCTGACCCCTGCTCGGGTCTGAAATGCTGTACACTGTCCAGCACCTTGGGAAGTCCTCCTGACGTGAAAGGCGCTATACAAATGTAATCTTGTTGTTGTTATCACTTCATTGAGACATCGCAAACTAGGTCAGTTCGGTATTAAACTATACCATTGTTAAGCGCTCCAAGATGCTACACTACGTGAAAGTGCTATATAAATGCAAGATGTATTTGTAAGTGAATGCAGCAGCCAACTTGCACACAGCAAAGTTCCCAAACAGCCACAAAGCGATTGACAATTTACTATTGAGGATTGTTGGCCAGGATAGTCAATTGTCAGTTACTTGACATCTAACAAGCACAGATTCTATATAACTTATTATCCCAAATCAGACCCTGTATTGGAATGGTTCTATTTTTATAATGCCTTATTATATCAACATCTCACTTAATTACTGCCAACAGCACTGACTGTTTTTATAGACAACCTCTCACATAACAGCTATGAGGTGAATATCCAAAAATCTGCAGGATTATTAACTGGGACACTTGGAGAAATTCCCTTTCATATGATGTTATGGGATCGTTAATGTCCACCTGAACAGGCATATGGAACCTTAGTTCTACATCTCATCTGAAAGACAGCACCTCTGACAATGCAGTGCTCCCCCAGTATTGTACTGGAATGTCATCTCTCCATTTTAAGGACTAGAAAGCTCAAGACCTTAAATGCTGAGCCTGAATCCACCATCTTCTGACCTAGAAATTAAAAACTGCCATCATCACGCCCACCCTGAAAAAACCCTCCCTTGATGCGTCGCAGCTATCAAGTTACCGGCCCATCTCCAACCTCCCCTTTCTCTCCAAGGTCTTGGAAAGAGTTGTCGCCTCCCAACTGCGCTCTTTCCTTTCCACCCATTCTCTTTTTGAACCCCTTCAGTCAGGTTTCCGTGCTGCCCATAGCACAGAAACTGCCCTGGTCAAGGTCACCAATGATATCCTGACCATCTGTGACCAGGGCTCCCTCTGTCTCCTCGTCCTCCTCGACCTATCGGCAGCATTTGATACGGTCGACCACGCTATCCTACTCCACCGCTTGTCCTCCCACCTCAACCTACAAGGCACTGTCCTTGAATGGTTTAGGTCGTACCTTTCTCACCGTCTTCATTTTGTCTCGACGAATGGCTTCTCCTCCACCCCCCGCACTGTCTCATGTGGTGTCCCTCAGGGCTCTGTCCTCGGTCCCCTCCTCTTCACCCTCTATATGCTCCCCCTTGGTGACATCATCCGCAGACATGGAGTTAACTTCCACATGTATGCGGATGACACCCAACTCTACCTTTCCTCCTCTACTCTCAACTCCACGACCACCGATGTCCTGACAGCTGCCTGTCCGACATCGAGTCCTGGACGAGAGACAACTTTCTTCAGCTCAACGTGCGAAAAACCGAGGCCCTCCTGATTGGCTCACGTCAGCGCCTCCGCACCTCAGGCGCTGACACCATCAGCATCCAAGGCTGCACTCTCCACCTCTCAAAGCCAGTCAGGAACCTTGGCGTTTTGTTCGACCCTGAGCTGTCCTTTCTCCCTCACATCCGCACCACAACTGGCACCGCCTTCCATCACCTCCGGAACATCGCCAGACTACGGCATTACCTCACCCCTCACTCTGCTGAAACCCTGGTTCACGCCTTTGTCACCTCAAGGCTGGACTATGGGAACTCTCTCCTCGCCGGCCTTCCCGCCACCTCCCTCCACAAGCTGCAGGTCATTCAGAACTCTGCAGCTCGTGTACTGTCCCGCACCAGGCTTCGGGACCACATCACTCCCACCCTCGCTCGCCTCCACTGGCTCCCCATCCCCCAGAGGATTGATTTCAAGATCCTCATCCTCACCTACAAGGCCATTCACGGCCTTGCTCCCTCCTACCTCTCCAACCTACTATCCCCCTACCTACCTGCCCGTACCCTCCGTTCCTCTGGCTCCGGTCTGCTCCACGTCCCCCGCCCCAACCGCCCTACCATCGGTGGTCGGGCCTTCAGCCTCTCAGCCCCCAGGCTCTGGAACTCCATCCCCCAGTGCCTTCGCCTTGCTTCCTCCCTTTCCTCCTTCAAGGCCGGTCTCAAAACCTTTCTCTTTGACCGAGCCTTCAGCTCCCCTCTCGACTCTCTTCCCCCTCCTCGCTCCCTCCCTTCCCTCCCCTCACCCTGACCATTTCCCCCCTCCTCGCTCCCTCCCTTCCCTCCCCTCACCCTGACCATTTCCCCCCTGCTCGGGTCATGACCCAACTGTGCAGCGCCTTGGGACGTCCTCCTGACGTGAAAGGCGCTTTATAAATGGAATCTTGTTGTTGTTGTTGTTGTAGAAGTGCAGAATGCTATGAACTGAACCAAATTGACACCACAAAGACTCCCACAGCTTTATTTAAACTGGTTTCTCGGAAAATGCCTATGCCTCCCTGCACATGTCAAAAAAAATTACACGTTAACATTAAAACCTCATTGCAGAATTTCAGGTCTCTGACCTGTTGTAACTCCTGTGGGAAAAACATGAAAGCCTCTTGAACTATATTAAACTTTGCTGTTATACGGCAGGACAAATCATTTAATGTCATGCTGTTGTTGTCTCTCAGCCAATTTAAATGTTAGGATTATTAACAATAAAATAAAATCTAATAATCCTTGCATTTCATATTGCAGCTTATTCGGTCAAGATGTCTCATTTCACAAAAGTTTTCTGGAAATTGTAATGATTGCATTTGTAGAGGACCACAGCAGCCAATTTGGACGCAGCAGGAATGAAGCCAAACTGAATGTCTCCACAGCAACTTTCCTGATCTTTCAAAATGGTTTTCAAAGAACTTTGAATCATATGAAAAACAATCTCTCGTGATCCCTAGACAGTAGCGTTTTCAGACGTGACACTATAGAGCTCGTACTCATCTCAACTTTTTATCAGCCTGTACTCACTTTCAGAAATAAAAGGATATCATTGCTACTTCATGAATAATTTGATTCTTTATTTTTGTAAGTACAAAGAGGCTATTATTCTGTAATTAACTACAACAAAATAATACATGTCAGGCCACCATTAAGCTGCAGTCTTACTGCTATCTAATATAAAGTACACTGAAATTAGTACCGGAATAAAAGCAAATACAGGCTCAGTGTGTGGATAGGCCATGGTTACATTTTCTATTCATTCAATTTATAGGGTTAAAAAAACTCTCAAACTGTTCCAGGGTAACTGCTGAAACCTTGGGCAAGTTTCGTTACTCCACATGCCTAATAATAATCCCTCCAAAACCAAAAACAATAATAAAAATTCGTCATTTTCAATCTACGACTGTTTGTGGGACATTGCTGTGCGCAATTGGCTGCCACTTCGCCCACAAATATACAGTCAATTCACTTTACAGTGTGTTCTGTGAAGCGCTTTGGGACATCCTCCCGACGTGAAAAGCGCTATATCAAATGCAAGGATTATTATTATTATTATAGAACTTCATAGTACATTCAGACCATCATTAAACCGAAGTCTCGTCTGCCTGTTCAGGTGGATATTAAGATTTCCCCAGTACTATATGAAAAGAAAAGGGAATTTTTCCTGGTGTTCTGGCCAACAATCAATCTCCCCCCACAATACTGTATACATAATACTATATAATCTTAGAACTGAAGAAAAATTGCAGAACAATGGGAGGCTATTTGGCACATATCTGCGTTCATTGATAGCTCCACACTCCCTCTTCTCCATTCATTAAAACTATTTACTCTAATCTCCATGTTCTTTCTCTGTAACTTATAATATTATTTTTCCTCAAGTTTTTATCTACTTGTGTTATAACTGTTGGTCTGGACTCAGCTTCTACAGCCATTTTGAGCAAGGCCTTTGTAATTCAAACAATTTTCTATGTAATAATAATTGAATCAACAATTCAAAATGGGATAAAATAACTGAGAGAAGTTAAGTCTCTTTCTTCCCTGTCGTGCCAGAATAATTATTTGACTCAAAACTACGTAGCTTGTAGAACTGGAGAAAAGCAAATAAATTGTTCAGCAAAATATGTTTGAAGAGAGATTTAAGACGTGCCTAGTTCAGTGAACTAAAATTCTTCAGGATACACTGTGGCTAGTAAAAATATGCGACTATAGGATTTTTGTCCATATGTTATTTAAAATTAAGTCTTTAAGAAAACGCAAAACCTATCAATTGTAACTTTGACTATCTTCCCATACTCCCCCCCCCACCACCCACCCCAATCTACCTTCCTTTATGTAAAATACTTTGGGATATTCTCCAATGTGAGAGGCATACAAGTGCAAATTGTTATTGTCAAATAAAACTTTTTTATTTACTTTGTGATGGGTGATCTGTGGTAACCCCTGAAGATATAATGCATGAGACCGTTAAATGTGACTGTTTGTTTTGAAGTTTATACAAAAGCGCACGCAGATTGCATTATTGGAATGTGAAGAGACGTTTTGAACTATAATGAACTTTATTAGTCCAGTTGTGGATATTAGGGGTAACTCCAGGTTAGATTTGTTATTGTATTGGGGGCATCTGATCTACTTCACATCTTGCTGTTAATGTTGTAGATGATATCTAAACATGAATATGGTTAACCATCAATAGAAAATTTCAAGCAGACCATGCTGCGGAAATCTTAGAGCATCTTTGAACCAGATTGAACTTCATTGGCCCACCTGTTTATATGGGTTACTCTAGGTTATCATTCTCCACTGAGATTGCAGGAACATCAGGATATCTAATCTTAGATGATGTCTAGGTCACAGTCAACGTTAATTAAAATATTTATACAGGGTGGTAAAGGAATAAAGGTGATTTCATATCTCGAAACCTTTTTGAGGAAGTATCTCATAGGAATTGCCTTGTGTGAGAAATACTTAACATGTCTTTGAGAGCCATTGTGGAGCCCTGTAGCTCAGAGGTTAGAGCACTCGTCTCTCAAACGAAAGGCCTGGGTTCAATTCCCGGCAGGGCGAAACCTTGGGCAAGTTTTCTTACTCCACACGCCTAATAATAAAACCTCAAGAAAAAAAAACAATAATTGACTCACTTTCCTTTCTCCATAGATACTGCCTGATCTGCAGAGTGTTCCCAGCGATTTCTGTTTTTCTTATATGGGGATGAAATGGGAGCGGAGTCAGGAGAGCATGGGGCGGAACCGAGGCCTCGCTGCATATAAAGCACAGCCAGGTTAGGAGCCACTCGGACAGGAGCGGAGTCAGAAGAGCGAGGTAAGTGAGACGGGGCTGGGTAAGTGATTCACAAGGTGACGTCGGTGTCACTTCACAGTTAAAAAAATAGCAACAACAACAAAAACAATATCCTGGCCCCTGGCACTGCTGTCCCAGCCATGACCTGGGAAGCTAAGCCTGAGGGCTGATGCTGTCCCACTGATCGCTCGCTTGCGGTCTCTGCATGCGCGTTTTGGCTGCCATCCCAATCCGAGCCTCCCCCTCCATTCTAAATGTCTCTGCTCCCACCCCCCTCTATCTGCTACTCCCCCTCTGTCCTTCTCTCCCACCGCCCTCTCCGCCTTTTCTCTCTCCTCGACCCCATCACCACTTCCCTCTGCTCCAGCCTGGGCATCCTCTGCCAGGCCCATCGTGGCTCCTGGCACTGGCTGTCCCAGAGCAGCAACCCCTCCACTCCCTCCACTCAAACCGCCTCCTTAAGGCAAACCTAACTTCCCCCCCTCTCATACGTACCCTCCCCAACTCTCCACTCACACCACTCTCCACAACCATCTCTCCTGTACACCCCAAAATCCTCTCTGCATCACTCTCTCCTCCCTCTCCTTCCTCCCCTCCCTCCAGCAAACCCACCCACATTTCCCTCCAAAATGTCCGTTCCCTCTCAAATAAAGCCCTCACCATCCACGACCTCATCCTGGACGAGCACCTTGACATTCTTGGGCTCACCAAAACCTGGCTCTCCCCCAATGACCCCGTCCCCCTAGTGGAAGCCTCCCCTCCAGGCTACACCTTCCACCCCACCCCCACCCCCCATCCAAACCAGCATGGCAGCGGGGTGGCCTTCATTTCCAAAGCCTCCCTTGGTCTTATCCCCTATTCCTCTGGCTGCTTCCCCTCCTTCGAGCACCTCACCCTCTTCCACCCCACTCTCCCATTGAAAATCCTCCTTGTCTACCGCCCCTCTAAGCCCCCCCGGCTCCTTCCACACAGACATCTCTACTCTCCTCTCTTCCCTGTGCCTCTGCTCTGAGCGCCTGCTCATAATGGGCAATTTCAACCTCCACCTAAACTCCCCTTGCACTACTTCTGCCGATTTCACTGCCCTCGTCTCCTCCCTAAACCTCACCCTTCATATAAATTCACCCACCTACAACCGTTGTCATGCCCTTGACCTCGTCATCACCCACGGCCTTAACATTTCCGACCTCAGCTTAGTGGACAAGGCCATCTCAGACCACTTCCTCATCTCCTTTTCCTGTCACATCCCTCTCTTCTCCACCAAGCCTTCAACCATCCTCTACCGCCCTTGGAAAAGGCTACCCCTTGAGACCCTCACAAAGACCCTCTCATTATCAAACATCCTATCCCTCTGGCCTTCCACCCCCGGAGATCCTGAAACAGCTGTCCAGCTGCTCCATGATCACCTCTCCTCCATCTTCAACTCCCTTGTCCCCCTGAAATCCAGAACCATCTCCAAACGCACCCAATCCCCCAGTACAACAACCATCTCCACCGCCTAAAAACCCAAACCCAGCTGCTCGAGCGCAGATAGCGGAAAACTGGCCTGACAGTCCACCGCCAACTGTGGCTCGAGCATCTCCACAGCTAAGGCCTATCTTTGACACACGCAAAAACGGCCTTCTACTCCAACATTATCTTAGAGGCTAAACAGAGCCCTAAAATCCTTTTTTTCACCACCCACCATCACCTCCATGAAACCCACCACCTGCTGCCTTGACCCTCTCCCCACCAACTTACTGGTCACCCAGCTGCCCCTCCTCTGCCCACTACTGGCTGATGTCATCAACCAGTCCCTCTCCTCCGGATCAGTCCCTACCCCCCTCAAAACTGCTGTCATCAACCCGCGCCTCAAAAAACCTTCCCCAAATCCCTCAAACCCCAGCCACTACTGCCCTATTTCTAATCTGCCCTTCCTCGTAAAAGTCCTAGAACACAATCAACTTTGTGCACACCTCTCCTCCTTCGAACCGCTCCATTCTGGTTTCTGCCCTGCCAACAGTACAGAGACTGTGCTTGTGAAAGTCACAAACGACATCCTCTCTATCTGTGACCAGGGCTCCCTCTGCCTCCTTGTCTTCCTGGACCTCTCCGCGGCGTTCGACACAGTCGATCACGCCATCCTCCTCTACTGCCTTTCCTCCGTCATCCACTTCAGTTGGACCGCACTCGTCTGGTTCGAGTCCTACCTCACAAACCGCCAGCAGTACATCTGCACAAACAGCTTCTCCTCCTGCTCTCTCCCGGTTACTGCGGGGTATCCCAAGGATCCATCCTTGGCCCCCTCCACTTTCTGATCTACATGCTCCTTCTTGGGGATGTCATCCGCAGACATGGGGTACACTTCCACATGTACGCGGACGACACCCAACTCTATTTTTCCACCTCTCTTTGCGACCCCCAGTCCCCTGATGTTCTGTCAGCCTGCCTGTCAGATCTCAGGTGCAAATTTCCTTCAGCTGAATGTTGACAAGACAGAAGCCATGCTCTTTGGCTCCCGTCAACATATAAAATCTCATGGTTCTCACTTCCTCCACCTACCCGATCTCCCCATAAAATTCTCCGAACCCGTACGCAACCTAGGCACCAGATTCAAGCCCCAATTATTCTTCCTCCCCCACATCCGGTCCCTCACCAGCACTGCCTTCTTCCACCTTCGACACATCGCCTGTCTGCACCAATACCTCTCTCCAAAAGCTGCTGAAACCCTAGTCCATGTCTTTGTCACCTCTCGGCTGGACTACTCCAATGCCCTCCTCGCTGGTCTCCCATCCACTACCATCCATAAAATCCAGTTCATTCAAAACTCTGCCACCTGCATTCTCACCCACACCAAACTCCGCTCCCCGATCACCCCAGTCCTTGCCAGACTGCACTGGCTGCCTATCCCAGAGAGGATCGACTTCAAGATCTTCACCCTTGTATTCAAATCCCTCCACTCCTCTGCAACCCCTACCTCTCTGACTTCCTTGTTCCTCAAAACAGTACCCGTTGCCTTCCTTCCTCCGGGTCTGGTCTCCTCCTTGTCCCCCGAGTCCTCTGCTCCACCCTCGGCGGCCGTGCCTTCAGCCACTACGCCCCGAGACTCTGGAATTCCCTTCCTCACTCCCTTCACCTCGCTCCCTCTTTTCCTATTTTCAGGTCTCTGCTGAAGACCTTTCTCTTCGTCCGCGCCTTTGGTCACCTTCCTCCCCCTCCCCCTGGCTCGGCCCCGGGATCCATTACCGTGATGCGCTCTGAGACACCGCCCAGTGTGGAGGACACTATATAAATCCAAGTTGTTGTTGTTGGATGTTGGCCAGGACACTAAGAGAAACTCCTTTCTCTTTTGAACAACCCCATGCGATCTTTAATATCCACCTGAAGAGGCAGATGGGATCTCAGTTTAACATCTCATCCAAAAGATGCACGCACCTCCAACAATGCAGTACATCCTCAGCACTGCAATGGAGTGTCATCTTAAACTATATAAATTCCACGTCCCTTGAATCCACACAGGAACACACATATGCCAAATACAGGGGATATTCATTATTATCATAATTGTAGTGACTATTTATAGGTAGGCACAGCAGCTAAATTGCACACAGCAATGTCCCTCAAACAGCCCTGAAGTGAATGAGCAATTTATTTGTGGGGTGGGTTGGTGGCTGGACACTGGGAGAAACTCCTTTCTCTGTAGTATAATGAGTTATTTTCATGTCCATCTGAGTAGGCAGTTGGGCTCTTGGTTCATTATCTCATCTGAACTATGTCATCACCAGCACATTTATCATGAAGCATTCTGTTTAGCTAAAGTACAGTAAATCTCACATTACTGTGCCTAATAGACCTTGGAACAAGCTCAGAGCAGTCTACTTTCCGTCTCTCACATCAACCATCCTTACAGTATTTTGCAGAATGGGGATTATTTTGTGCCGTGGACACCCACTGGAAACTAATATAATACTGACAAACTTATTCCAGATTACATCCTTAGAGTCAAAAAAGAGGAGACTGTCTTTTCTTCTGGTTCAGATGGATTCAAATCCACATGCAGTGATGAAAAGATAAGGTGCTAACACCTGAATACATAATCCCCATTACATGCATTTTGAATTTGCTGAAGTTGCCACTAAAAGTCTGCTTAGTCTCAATCTGTAACACTACATTGTTATAAAATTTAAGGTAGTACTGAATAGTGAAGACTTCTTAAATTCTGCCTTGCTTTGGAAACTGTTTCATTTAAAGAATTGTAGAAATATAATAATAATAACAATAATAACCCTTGCATTTGATATAGCGCCTTATCATGCCGTTGGGATGTCTCAAAGCGCTTGAAAGAAAGACAGACATACACGCACACACAGACAAACAGACCGTCAGTCAGTCAGTCGAGAAATTGCATGTAATGCTCCATTAACAAAATACAGTAATTTGAAATGGAATTTGGGGGAAATGTAAAATTATTTTAATTATGGTACATATCAAATTCCATAGGTCTTTTTTGTGATGACTAGTTTACAACTAGTTATATTCATGCTAACAAGCATGATATTGCTCAAGGAACAACAACACTACAACAACAACAAGATTCCATTTATAGAGCGCCTTTCACGTCGGGAGGACGTCCCAAGGCGCTGTACAGTTGGGTCAGGACCCGAGCAGGGGGGAAATGGTCAGGGTGAGGGGAGGGAAGGGAGGGAGCGAGGAGGGGTAGAGAGTTGAGAGGGGAGCTGAAGGCACGGTCAAAGAGAAAGGTCTTGAGACCGGCCTTGAAGGAGTAA